CATCTTCACCACCAGTTACCTCAAGGGTCATGATAGCTTGTGGATCCAGATTCAAGCATGGTCTTTGATTGTTGAACGCCTCATAATATGCCAAGGTGGCCGGTTCACTGGTGGCGTCTGTGTTCATTTTGATATAAACTCCACAATTGGAGATACAGCCGTTTGTATCTTTCTCGGCCGTGCCGGGAGCTCCAGTAGTAGACTGTTGACTGTCAGCCTGATTGCAAGTAGAAAATTTGGAAGAAAGGAGTATATTTCTTCTCTCAAAACTTACATTCGTTTGTGTGCAAAATTCAGGAGTGATTCCGCATTGACTGTTAACTGAGGTCAGTTATATTTTCGGTGAGTTATGGAATACTGAAGACTTACCCCCAAATATCGCAGCAAGCGTTCAAAGGACACGGATTGAGGGCCGAAATATCACCCCAATTATCTGGTCTCTTGGTTCCGTTTACCTGTGGCCCACAGACGGCGTTCGGAACGTTTGCAGGCATAGGTGGGTCACCTGAACTGATGCAAATGTAGCCTGTTATTATTAGTATAAGATCTCAGATTTGATACAGGCCCAGAAAGCTAGTGTTTTGAGCTCAGGAATTGTAGTTTACCATTCAAAGGGAGATTTCCGCAACCTTTCCATCCCCAGGTTTTCTTATTCCAGTCGCTGATATTATCAACAGTGACATCATGTGCGGCAGCAATTTGGCTGCAGAGATCCCCGTTATTGATCTTGTATGTTGCACAAGTTCCATCCTGGTTTGGGCTGGGTGCGAAACTAGGCCTAGTTCCAGCTGAGCAGCAAACGTGTTGACCTTTCTGTAAATTGCCACATAAAGTCGAGCTTGGGTTGTACTTTGTAAAGTCGGCAGGCGAGATACCGCAGGTTGCAGCAAGCTCCGTACAACTATGTTCATCCGTGAGTTGTATAGTTCTGCAGTCTGCACGACTGTGGAGTCCTGAGTGCGACTTCTTGGCATGGGCTTTCGCGTGGGAGCTAATATGAGAGCTGTTCCCACTCGGACGGACAACTTCCCCAACAGTAATTTCTGACTTGCGACTGTTCTTGTAACCTTGGACACATTCACCCCTGTTCCAGGCGGCAAGGGCTTCTTGAACAACAGACAGAGCTTCTTTGTTGTCTGAGTTTGCCTCAGATACAACACCGACAGTATATGCCGATGAACGACTGGCGTCACAAACCTGCATCATAGAACCAGAAGTGCTGAGCTCTCCCTTGCTGAGCTTGCCGAGGAAAGATGCAAGAATGCCGTTGTCTCTTGCTATAGCAGAGCCGATGTAAGCGCCCAAAGCAACTCCATTAGAATACCCAAAGGCAATGGTAGTATTTATTCCCCCAGCATTATCGAACTGGGATTTCACAAGCTTTGCCGCAGCTTCGGCGTGGGCTATGTATTGACTTGCTGCATCGCCGCGAGAAGCGACCTCCAGCTCCACATCCTTTGCTGTATACAGTTTGGTATCGGCGGCCTCGTTTTGAACCTTTGCAGATGGCAAGGTGTCATCAGCGGACAGAGAGCAAGCCAGTAGCGCGGAGGTTGCCTGGTTTCGGATGGGATTGTTGACAGCAAAGTTCAGAAGCATTGGCTCGTCACAGGTTTTGAGGATGCGAAGATTACTGTAGTAGCCCCAGTGACTGGAGTCACCACTATTGCAAGTTGAAGGGCACGCATTCCATTGAGTTGCGACGTATGGATCCGTAACAATATGGGAGGAGGCTGCGCTGACTAGGGCGGCCACTTGGCTAAACGTAGCCAAATGGACCAGCAACCCCATGTTCAATACAGTTTCGCAAGGCGGGAGGAAATGAAAGAGAAGAGAATGAACGAGTAAAAGATGGAGAAGTAAGATCCTGTCAAATGTCCACTAATAACACTTTCAAACAAGTATTTGGAGCATGAACGGCAGTATCTGAAAAGGATTGGCTTTGAGCCAGAGTGAGCCCTGATGATGGGAACAATGCTAGCAAATTCAGAGGCTGGCCAGCAGATATTTCATCTTGAGAGGCATTTTCAGACTCCACAGATATCAGCATAATTTCGATCCGAAATGAGCTTCGGCTTTATTCCGTGCTTTGAATGTAACTCTGCAATGCTTTAAGCCCATTCCAAGTATTTAGATTTCGCCCCTTGCACTCCGTACCTGCAGTAGCCCCAAGACCCATGTGGATATACAACGCTTAGCCTCCTGCCGTATACGAAGAACATCCGGAGCACTCGGGACAGGAAAGAGCAACGACAGGAAATGTCCTATGAGACTGCGAATCAAGGGACTAATCTCGCTTGTCCTGCTGGGATTGATTGAATATAGAAAATATTCGTTTGGACTTTCTTGAGTTCGGAAATACAACAGAATTCTCCACATTTGTAACATTTAGTGGAAGCGAGGTCGAAAGACCTTGAACTTACGTACCCTTAGTGCAAATCCGCCGCCCCGGGGGCCGTTCTCTCTTGGTGGTAGTGCAGTAGGGTGGTCGCTACGGAGTGTTTGATGTCTAGTTTTTCGTTAGCTCATTCGTCAGTTCTGAGACATGTCGGGAAGGGACTAGTTGACCGGGGTTAGAACCTGAAAATTTGCGGGAGTGGAGAACACGCTATTTTAGCTCCTGGACCCTTCCAAGAGGGGAAGAACCAACAGAATCAACTTCGTTTAGTCTGCAGCGGGCGGCCCCAACGCCAAGTTACGCCACAATTTGCTTGACCTTGGCGCCCTCTGATTGATGCTATTCGATTAATTTTCGCGCTGCTAACTATACAGTGAATTAGTTATCCATCAGTTAGACTTTACGGTGAGATCCGACTAAGCAATTTGTAAATGCTTCTTGCATTCAAGAAGCCTCCGCTCTTCACTCCGAGCGAACTAAGATTTCTTAGCCTATCTTGGCGTAGAATAGCCGAGTTATACTAGGCACATTATTAGTGTTTACCATTTATTTCTTTTTGGAAAAGGAGGTTTCTGGTATTGCTGGTTCTTGCTGTAGACCAAAAAACTTAGCCTCGAACATTGGTTCTTTGTCTCTATACCAATGCATAAAGATCATCCGTACAAGATACCTGCGCTTCCGCAACTCAATCTCGAATTCCGTTAGCGCCGACGCCCATCAATAGCTTACAGAGTTTCTGTGTAGAGCACTTGTTGTCTAGTCGTTCGGCCCCCAACCTCGGACGATCAGGCGCACGGACTTGAACGAGGCTGGACTACAGGCTACCGATGTTTCAGTAAACAACTGCATAAGATTCATGTTATGGTGTACATGGTTTGACTGGTCTGGGGCTAGCAAAACGAAATTAGAATCACACCCTCCTCTACCACCCGGGGGCTGGCCCTGTTCCCTGAATTTGGTTCATTCCTTGGCTCGGAGCGCTAGCAAAGTATGATCCCCTTTGAATGGTCTGGGGCTAGCAAAACGAGATTAGAATCACACCCTCCTCTACCACCCGGGGGCCGGCCCTGTTCCCTGAATTTGGTTCATTCCTTGGCTCGGAGCGCTAGCAAAATATGATCCCCAGGTAGAAAGGCGAAGCCGAGTTATACCGGCCAGGTAGAACAATATTCTACCAGCATGCTAACTCCCGACAACGCCGATCGCGAAAACGAGAGGCTCACAGGCAGGGTGAAACTCAAGGCGCAGAGAGACTAAGGAAATGAATATATCGAAATGGGTATTACATACAGCTAGGCTCTTTCAGGCGGACCCGAGGAGATGAAAATGAATTAGAGTATGATTGATTCCCAAGTCCCTCCACATTGCAAGTCTCGCATTCAAATGCCAGGTTAATCATATTTTCTTCCAAACCACGATTTCCGTTGGCATTTCTTCACCGTCAAAATGAGAACGATCTTATTCTATCTCGTGGCATTTTTTGCCCTTCGCATATCTGCCTTCGGTCTATCTGGCGCCTATGAGCGAATGTGGTACTGGTCAGCTTACCAGATGGAGCAGCAATATGTCGACGCGGCCAATCGAAAAATTGCTACGTCGTGCAAGTCGTGCTCCTTCGCCCAGTTCGTTACATGGATTGCTGATGCAGCGGATGAGGACACGGCCAAGTCTAAATTTGCAGCCTATAAAGCACAGAATGGAAAGGACTACGTTCCCGCCTCCGTAGATGAAGGGGCAAAGTGGCTGGATGACAACGGCATAACAAAACCGATGAGATTATTTCGAGTCATTCACAACGTCTATGATGTGCCCAATGTCTTTAAAGAAGTTTCAAAGTACGTTAAATAGCCCAGTGCGACTTACAGTTTTCCGAGCGCTCACAGGAAAAAAACAGGGCTATTGGCGCGATTTACAAGAGCAAGCAACCTGACCCCAGTCACCCTCCATTCAGTGACGCTTTCCTTGCTCGAAAGCGAGTTGATGTGATCCGTACTGCTGAAAGTCACTTGACGATCAGCCTGGCTCTTCGAACCCAATATGACGAAGCGAATGTGGACGGAACTAAACCTGTTTACCAAGGTTTGGTTAGGGATGACAACTCCAAGATACTTCCGAACGGCAAGGTTGTACCAGACTGCGATTTGAAGTCGGCTATCGATGCAATCCAGCAAGAGAAGAAAGTGACAGTATCAATCAATGATTACTACAAGGCTTATAGAGCTGGGACACTCAAAGCTTCAGGATCCGATGCGACGTCGAAGGACGACAATCATGCGGCGAATATTCAAGAGGTCCAGAGAGCGAAATACAGGATGCTGGGAGGTGTGTGCCGCAACGAATGAGCGCTCCACGGTAGGCGTTACACTAGTATTGAACTGAGTAAACATCAGATCTATACAGTAGTAATTGCCCGAGGCAGATATTATTGGCCTTGGAGGTTGTGAGCAATTGGCGTCAATCGTCCGCGGTACACGGCCTATGATTTTTGTTTCTATGTATCTAACACCTAAACTTGAAAGACTTTCATAGGTACTTGACCTCGCGGTACATAATTCTAGGAGGGGTTGACTGAAGCCATTGCTTTATTCAATGTAATGTACTACTATGTTGAAAGATCTCTGGCATCAAGAATGTCGTACATCTCCTGGACTTCAACGTGGCTTCTCTGATCCCATATCTTATCATCCAGCCCAATTGCATCCATGCCGAAAATTGTGAATCCCAAATTACTAGGCTCTCTCGAAAGTCCATCTGTGGCGCTCTCCCCCGATGTCAACGCGAAGGGTTTATCTTTGATCACAACTCTCTCGGCAGTTGAGCGCGGCGAATAGGTCCATCTCGCAGTGCGCATGTCATCCAGGTAGTACACACCGGATTCAAGCTTCTCCACGCTGGCTTTTCCAAGCAACATTATGTCGTCCAAGTAGTGCGGATTTGACGAATCCTTAGCCTCGGCATAGATATGCGACCCGATGACTTTGGAAAGTCGAGTGATTTTGGGATCGTTCGGGGTATCGGATGACCCGAGCAAAATCTCATCCCATGCCGCTTCGTAATTTGCGACAATACATGCTCGTAGACAAGAATCAATCATATCAGGCCTTTTCTGTGCGAGACGCACATAGGTCACCGGAGAAGCAACACTAGGCCACCAGATTCTGCGAGGAACCAGCGATTCTGGGGTATCAGGTGTGATACAAGTGATATCGTCACTGATGATGCGTCGAACATTAACTGCGCGCCGTATGGATACGTCCTCTCTGCTTTCGGGAACCTCCGGCACCTGTGTGCTCCACCATCGCGCCCAAAGGGGGTGATGGTATATCCCCAGAATGATCGCGTGGAATTCTTGTTCGATCATCTGTGGGCGTCGAAGGCGTACATATCGATCCACGTCACCTGTATATGCAGCCGATAGGATCAGGTTGTCTTTATTCACTGGTGGAAGGTCTGTCGGGAGAGGCGAATACAGAAGTGGCCAAAAGCTGGCCAAAGGCTCAGGCGCACCGCAACTATGATCGTCGACTCCCAAGTCCTCAGTGATGTTGAAGTGGCTATACGTATTGTACTCTTTCGGATCCCACTCGATGTAGTCAACAAGATTGACGCCAAGTTTGCTGCTGTTGTCCACTCCTGCATGAAGCATGTGGGCAGTAAGATCGGAAAAAACCGCCGTATCTCCATTTAGATGTGCCGGACGCGGGTTTTCAAGATTGACGGATCGATCATAATCATTCATTATCTCGAACTTCAAATGCTTCGACATTATTTGCTCGTATATTGCTTCGCTGCCTTTGTTCTTCCTTGCCAGGCTAGCGTCGCGAGCTTCGGCGGCAACATGAACCTCGGGAAGAACCTGAAGCTCCGAGTAAAGATCAAAATATCCCGCCACGGCACAGGCGCGAGCAGCGTGATATATCATGTTGGGATAACGCTTCACCAGATTGCGCAGGGTCTCCTGGGGCGGAGGCTCCGGGTACCAGATGCAATAGGGTATCTCGGAGGAGTCATTGATCTCCGGGATGACTCCGCTCATGATTGCACGCGCGTTGAGTGCACGAGTGAATTCCGGTGCGACACCGCGTAACTCGTGGGCGAAACCATCGTGGTGTCGAATGCCACGGATCACGGCGAAGCGTTGGACTTTCAGTCCGAGGCCACCGGGAATCTTTTGTCCGCGAATCGCGCCATTGCAGTCGTCTTCATTGTACAGGGTGATTTTGAGTCTTTTCTCCCATGGAAGATCCTCCAGGTGGAAGTTTTGCTGGCGGGGTTTGGATCTGCCCATTATGGGAGATCTGTGGGTTCAAGGTATTTCTCTGATGGGTGGGAATGGAGAGGTCGAGGAGGATGGAGAATCCCTAGTACTTAAATAAACTGGATGCAACGTTGACGGAAACTCCACCACAATCTGGGTTATTCGTCACAGTGCTGTATTGCGTGACAATACGTCGAATATACTTAATTTACCGGGGTCCGAGCGACTTTCGGAGACCCCCAAATCTACTCCTCCGCAGTACAGCAATATTCGAAATTGGCTTCCATGTTTTGCACGGAGAAACTATCTCAAGCCCCACCGCCAAGATGATGGTGAAACGGCTTAGGTTAATTTGGGTTAGGCTACAGGTCCCCTAATCCGTCATAATGGAAATGTAAGTTTCCTGACAAGAGGATACGCCCACACCTTGTTCTAAAGATAGAATTGAACACCAAACACAACTTCGCGCCCAGAAAGTCACATGACAGTGAGATTGAGAATAAACGCTGCCAGGTTAGGACCTTCTACCTAAGAAACCAACGCAGTGTCTACATCGCATGTTAGCTCTTCAATGCCATGTTGTGCAATTTAAATAACTTAGAAATATCGGAGTAGTATAGGAAGCTGGTATGAAGTTTCCCAGAGACTGGAATACCAATGACGAACAGAAAGGCCGCTGAGAGCCCGAGAAATTGCCTTTTTATATGTTACTAACCCTGTCGCCTATGCCGATGGGCGTGTAGGGGTATGACAATGTGCCCCGAGATGCACGATGAGCGCCTTGAATATGGTTAATTGTTTAGACACCTTCCAACCTAGGTATCATCCTTGCCGACGCCGGCCCTTTGATTGTCTTATTCTGTGGACAAAAGTACGAACACTGAGCTGCATACCCTAGATCACATTGTACGCCTGAGAAAAAGTATCATAAGCTACAATTATGCCAATCAATCATGGGCCTAGATGTATCACGTACTAGGAAATATGGAAAATATGGAGAATATAGGAAATATAGGAAATATAGGAAATATAGGAAATATGGGAAAGATAGGAAATATAGGAAATATGGGAAGCTCACAGGAAGCGAGAGTTTTCCGCATCGCTTACTCGCAATTTGATAATAAAAGCCGAGCACAGAAAAGAATGCCTATCAAATCTAAACTCCTACTAGGTATACTTAATGTGCCCTTAATAACTTACAATAGTATTAGCGAAAGATATGTGGTTTGAATGGTTGATTAGGAGGTTCTAATCATATAAGTGTCTAGAAGTAGACCTCGGTAAGGACCGCCTAGGACCGGACTAGGACCGGGACCGGACTATACTATATAGGGCTTAGTCCTTACTTTTAGGACTACTAGGCAGTCCTGACTTTTTTACTTTTTTAGGACTATATTACTATAGTCCCGGTCCCCTATATAGACCTCGGTAAAGACCGGGTCCGGTCCTAAATCTTAGGACCGGGACCGGGACCTCCGGTCCTTAGTCTTTTTTTAAAGTAGTCAGGACCGTACTACGGTCCTCTATGGTCTTTTGCGGTCCCCTGTACGGTCCCCCGTATGTTTATAATTCTGCTAAGACCTTCTATTTTCGGCCGTATAAACTAATAATTTAGCTACGTTTATTACTGTTATTAAACACTGTTTTAGTATATATACTAATATTCATAATAAACTAGGCCTAATTATTGATAAAGTAGGTAAAATAAGCTTATATATTAGAATCTTATTTATTAAAGTATAAGAACTAACTAAAATTTAAGTATTTTATTACTCTAGTAGAGAGGTTAGGGGGGGGGTAGGAGTTTTATTAGTTTTATAGTTAGAAATATATATTAGCTAGCTAATATCCTTAGTATTAATTTCTAATAGCCGTCGGAAATTTCGATAGCTATTAGAATTTAATACTATCTACTACCTAGATACTATTAATTTCCCTAGTTATAAAATACTTAACGGCCGTTAGAAATATAGGCTGTCTACTAAGATATTATTAATATCCTTAGCCTAGATCTCTAATAGCTATTATAGCTATTAGAAACCTATATATAATCCGCTATCCCTAAGGTAGCGCTCTTTAAGCGGGGGTAGCGGTCTTTTAGCGGTCCTTAAGGTCTTTTAGCGGTCCCTTAGCGGTCCTTACGGTCCTTTAGCGGTCCTTACGGTCCTTTAGCGGTCCTTACGGTCCCTTAGCGGTCCTTATAGTCTTTTAGCGGTCCCTTAGCGGTCCTTACGGTCTTAGACCGCAAGGACTATAGTAGAGTAGGTCTTATTAGCTAATTACTATCTAGAATCTAGCTAGTTCTATCTTAAATTATCTATTAATTACTTTTCCCTTATAGTAATCTCCCTAATTATTTATTTACCTTAATAAAAAGATAATTATATATCTTTCCTATTACCCCCTAGCCTTACTTCCTACCTTCTCTTATATATTACTTATTAATATATTATAAAGCTAGGTATCCTAGTTCTCTAATAACTATCCCTTATTAGTCTTTAAGGATAACCCTATAGATATACTCTCCTTCCTTATATCCGATAGGCTATTTAACCTAGATAAAGATAAAACACTAACTTTAACTCCTAGCTTAATCTTTATATAACTAGCGATACCTATCCTAATTCTAGAAACCTTTAAGCCTATTAGTCTATATAAAAAGAAGTAGTTTCTTCTTTAGATAGAGATAGTTAACGAAGATTTTATCGATTAATAGCGAAGGACTAACTATAGAAGCTAAATAGAATAAAATATCTTTAAGGATAAATACTAGATAGGCGTTTAGGAATACTTCTACTAAGTTACTACTATCTCTAATAGGTCTCCTAAGGTAATATATAAATAGTATAATTATATCCTTACTTATCCTACTAACCGGTACCGAGGAACATCGACTATAAATAGGTATTACTTATAAGCTACTATCTATTAAAAGGGAAGGGGTAAGATATAAGATATTAGAAAGATAATCTTAAATAGAGTATAAATACTAAATATAGTCGGGCCCGGTACCCCCCCCGGTACCCATAGTTAAGAGAGTGGGTCTAGGGGGGGGGGTACCGGGAAAAACACGGTACCCCCCCCTAACTACCTTAAATATTGATCTTTTTTGGTCGCTCTTTTTTAATCTTTTAATAGTAGAGCCTAACGGACCTAAATATGAAAAAATATCCTAATATTTCTATAGGGAAGAGGCTAATCTAGGCGTATTGGGGTTAGATGAATTATTTTTTGATGGGGGATGCCAAGACCTCTAGGTACGGATAGGCTATCCCTAAATATAGTCGGGCCCGTCCCCGGGGGGGGGGATCATAGTTAAGGAGTGGGTCTAGGGGGGGGGGGGGGGGACGAGTCTAATACGTCCCCCCCCCCTAACTACCCTAAATATTGATCTTTTTTGGTCGCTCTTTTTTAATCTTTTAATAGTAGAGCCTAACGGACCTAAATATGAAAAAATATCCTAATATTTCTATAGGGAAGAGGCTAATCTAGGCGTATTGGGGTTAGATGAATTATTTTTTGATGGGGGATGCCAAGACCTCTAGGTACGGATAGGCTATCCCTTTTTTAGCTAGCTTTTCTAAACCTATATTATTAGCCTTAGAGATCTGGCTCTCTAGGGGACTTAGCTTAGTAGCTAGGGTAGTAAGGGTTTACTAATAACTATCTCTTGAGGTAAGATATTACTATATACTAAGCTATACTAGGTAAAACTATAGATTCTCTATACTAATAAAATATTTTAATTTAATTCAGATTACTAGTCCTTCTATAATATCTACTATAGAGTAGTACGAGCTTATTAGCCTTAGCCTATCTAGGTAGGCCCTATCTCTATCTAGGTCTACCCTAGTCTACCCTAGTCTATCTAGTCTATCTAGCCTAGGTAGATATAGGCTAGTCTTAGTAGATATAGTCTGGTTAGTCTAGTATAGGTAGATATAGTCTAGTCTAGGTAGCCTAGGTAGATGTAGTCCTGTCTAGATAGTCGTGGTCTGGTCTGTCTGGTGTAGGTGGTCGTGGTCTGGTCTAGGTGACCGAGGTGGACGTGGTCCGGTCTGTCTGGTGTAGGTGGACGTGGTCTGGTCTAGGTGGACGTGGTCCGGTCTGTCTGGTGTAGGTGGACGTGGTCTGGTCTAGGTAGACGTGGTCCGGTCTGTCTGGTGTAGGTGGACGTGGTCTAGTCTAGGTAGACGTGGTCCGGTCTGTCTGGCGTAGGTGGACGTGATCTGGCCTAGGTGGTCGTGGTCTGGTCTAGGTGACTAAGGTGGACGTGGTCCGGTCTGTCTGGCGTAGGTGGACGTGGTCCGGTCTGTCTGGTGTAGGTGGACGTGGTCTGGTCTAGGTGGACGTGGTCCGGTCTGTCTGGTGTAGGTGGTCGTGGTCTGGTCTAGGTGGTCGTGGTGGTCGTGGTCCGGTCTGTCTGGCGTAGGTGGACGTGATCTGGCCTAGGTGGTCGTGGTCCGGTCTGTCTGGCGTAGGTGGACGTGGTCTAGTCTAGGTGGACGTGGTCTGGCCTGTCTGGCGTAGGTGGACGTGGTCCGGTCTGTCTGGTGTAGGTGGACGTGGTCTGGTCTAGGTGGACGTGGTCCGGTCTGTCTGGTGTAGGTGGTCGTGGTCTGGTCTAGGTGGTCGTGGTGGTCGTGGTCCGGTCTGTCTGGCGTAGGTGGACGTGATCTGGCCTAGGTGGTCGTGGTCCGGTCTGTCTGGTGTAGGTGGTCGTGGTCTGGTCTAGGTGACTGAGGTGGACGTGGTCCGGTCTGTCTGGTGTAGGTGGATGTGGTCTGGTCTAGGTGGACGTGGTCCAGTCTGTCTGGTGTAGGTGGACGTGATCTGGCCTAGGTGGTCGTGGTGGTCGTGGTCCGGTCTGTCTGGCGTAGGTGGACGTGATCTGGCCTAGGTGGACGTGGTCCGGTCTGTCTGGTGTAGGTGGACGTGGTCTAGTCTAGGTAGACGTGGTCCGGTCTGTCTGGCGTAGGTGGACGTGATCTGGCCTAGGTGGTCGTGGTCTGGTCTAGGTGACTAAGGTG